TTGTCATAGTGACGAGGTAGGTCTTGGTGGATGTCAATCAGTGTTGTCATAGTGACGAGGTAGGTCTTGGTGGATGTCAATCAGTGTTGTCATGGTATTTTTTGAAAACACGAAGTTTTCAAGGTAGTGTCTTTGGTATGTACTGCAAAAGTTGTTTGACGTCCATCTAAACCTATCATTCTGATGATTCCACGTGAATGATAGTGTTGTACCACAACAGATACTCTAGCCCGTCTCATCCCACGAGGCGCTCTTACAACACAATTAGCATACATGATCTTCGCATACATTATAAAGCGCGCGAAAATTACAACGAAGACACGACATCGCGGCCCCACAAACGGGCTCTACACATGCGCGTTTGTCCTATGTCTTGGAGTGTCCTTATAACAACAATAATTCAACGTTTATAATGTTCTCTGTGAAATCTTTCTGATTAATCATCTTAACTTGCATCATGCTCCTCCAATAAGCACAGTTTCACAATCGGGCGCTGTAGAGTTCCTTGCGCTGTCTTGACATTTGCCGAGCGTACACGGCCATCTCTTCCTGTAAAGACTTCGGTCACTCTAGCCAGAGGCCATCTGTTACGTKCGATATTATCATCGGCCACAAGGACTAAATCTCCTGGTTTCAAATCTTGCTTTGACGTTAGTCATTTAGATCTTTTCTGTAAATTAGGAAGATACTCTTTAATCCAGCGCTGCCAGTACTGGTTCACGAGATATTGAACCTTTCTCCATCGTCTTCTAGAGAACTTGTCTTCCTTACAAAGACTCCTGGTGGGAGATGGGCAGTTCGCTGCATAAGGAAGTGGTTTGGTGTTAATGCTGTAAAATCCTTAGGATCATCCGATACAGCTGTTAAAGGGCGGTTGTTAACAATTGACTCTACTTCAGCAAGTAATGTTCTTAGTTCAAGATCATTCAGCAATCCATCGCCGACTACAGCCTTCATACGTGTTTCTTTGTAATCTGCACMAGTCTTTCCCAGACTCCGGACATGTGTGGCGAAGCAGGAGGCTGGATGACCCACTTGATTCCCTTCTGCTGTAAGTCCTTCGCGATCCTTTCGTTATTCCACTGAGCAATAGAGTCCTTGAAGCTCGTTGTTGGCGCCTACGAAATTAGTTCCTCTGTCGGACCAAATTTCATTTGGTGGTCCTCTGCGGCTTACAAATTGACGTAGGATCATAATGAAGTCGTCTGCCTCTAACGAGGGCACGACGTCTAAATAGACCGCTCGCGTATTCAAACAGGTAAATAAGCACCCCCATCTCTTTGCTGTGCCGCGGCCCCATTTGACTGTCATAGGGCCAAACAAATCCACCCCGGCRTAAGTAAACGGCGGTTGGTAAGCTTCTACGCGTGTCTTTGGGAGGGGAGCAATAACCTGGTGCATCGCCCGAGCATTCATACGGCGACACTCGATGCATCTTCTGACGGTGTCCTTCACGAGACTCCTTCCCGCGACGATCCAAAACTTTCTTCTCATCTCGTATAGCGTTTGTTCTCTTCCGCCATGGGCTGTTACTTCATGGAAATGGCGAACTATCAGCTCACTCAAGTGATGTCGCTTTGGCAGGATCATGGGATGCCTTTCATCAAACGACAGGTTTTCTGCTGCTTGCAGTTTTCCTCCAACGCATAATACACCGTCGACTTCTAACGGTCTTAAATCAGCAACTGGGATTGTCTTCTTCACTTCACCCTTTCTCTTCAGTTCTGACAGCTCATCAGAAAAGCACGTAGTCTGTACACTTCGTACAATGACATTAGTTGCTTCATTAAGTTCTTCAAGTGACAATATACCTGTATTACAGGCAGTCCTTTTACTAGCTATCCATCGACAAAAACGTCTAATCCATGCAACTCGTCGTTGCAGTTTCGACCACGAACTCCATCTGGTTACGATCTCATTCATCAGACGACTGCTATCCTCAGCAGTGGTTGAATCCGGAACAGCCTCTTAAATGTCATTTTTTCTTGACGCTGACCTGATGAATGTTCACTTCTTTGCGCACTTGCGGATCATCATCAGGAACTTCTTCTACTTTCTTATCAGGCCAGGTGTCTTCCGGCTGCCACAGGAATTCGGGTCCTCTCCACCATCGATGTTGGCTTGATAGTTTCTGGGGCTTCAGCCCTCGCGAGGCGTCATCTGCAGGATTAAGGCGTCCTGGACAGTGTTTCCACTGGTCTGGAGAACTAACTTTGCGTATTTCTGTGACGCGATTAGCGACGTAAGCTTGGAAACGTTTCGTTACGTTCTTGATGTATTGTAAGGCCGTCTGAGAATCTGTCCAAAAAATTGCTCTGTTAATCTTGCATGTTAGCTCATCCACCAATATTCTGTATATGCGTACGGATACGGTTGCTGCTTGAATTGATACGGAATTGATAGCGGAGCTCCTGCGCGGAGCACCATACTTAAGAAAAAATGGTAAACCATTGAGTTGATTTTTCATGGCTTGGCTGACGTCACTTCCGTCCGTCCGTCCGTCCGTCCGTGTACACAAGAATCCCGATTGGCTGGTTAGATTATCTTTTTTTTTTTGGCGGGAATGTCGACGCGTTGCAACATCCGGGTACACATAAAGGTAAATCCGGCTATTAAACTTTTGTAAAAAAACGTTTTTACACCTGTTATTACGTATAGAAATACCAACACAATTTTTTAATGAGCATGAATGAAATTCAGGCAAGTTAAAACCGAGTCGTAGCGGCCAGCGGCTACCCACCCCAATAATATGCGGTGGGGGTGGGGGATGGGGCGCGTTTTGGTTAGGAACTAGTGGCAGCTTTGCCAGCAGTCTTGGTAGCTTTGGCTGTGAGCGTGCAGCAAAAAACTTTTATCCCGCCCGCCCACTCCTCTATTGGTGGGAGCAAGGTGAGTATTATTCCACTGAGTGGTCAGTGTGACAGGTACCAGGTGGTGAGCTGTGGCCCGGTCGCCATGGTTACCTCCGTGGTAGGGCGTAGTCTGATTGATGCGCACAGCTCGCACCATGGTACCTAACCCCAAACTTATCTAGACGATGAGTTTTAATTCAAGCTTATATTTATATTTATATTTACTCTATTTACGATGGAACCCTTTTCCGAAATCGATATGTCGAAAGAATAAAGCTCAAGGGAGAATGAAGCCAAAAGAAAGGCCAGAAGTAAAAGAGTTTTTTCGGAAGAGGAAAAACTCTGGAGGCGTGAAAAAGAAAGGCAAAGACGAAGGAATCTCACCAAAGAAAAGCGGCAAGCAGAGAGAGAGAGAAAACGCAAATCCAGGCGGGACTTCGATTATGATAAAGGAGAACATGATCGTGAAAGAAAAAGGAATTTGAGGCAAAACTTTACGGATGAACAAAGAGAAAATGAATTTGAAGCAAAACTACTAGCTAAGGCGACTCTCAGATGCACAGAAAAAATCGCATTAGGGCAAGTTATAGACCAAAGATAATTAAAAAAACTTTCATGTATTCAAAGATGGATTAAGAAGTGTTCTCCAAGAATTCAGGTGTGTGTTGTTTAGCAAACAATCGTATATTATTATTTTTTGACAAGCATTTTCTCTCGACGAATCGACAAATTAAAGACTTTCCCTCAAAACTTTTAATATTTCTATAGATAAGCTTCAATTATTTTAATGCTGGAGAAAATATAACATGAAGAGCATATTACAACAAATATTCGTCCATTGTTTAGCTTTGTAAATCATTAACAATTCGGTTGTTTTTAACCAACTATCATATGTTTTTCGTGCAAGAAAAATTCAGCTTTGTTTGCCTTCTATCGCGGGTCCCATCGGCAAAACAAAGCTGAAGACTTTCATTCAATGATTTTATATCTTTCTACAGATAATTTCTTTATATATTGAATGAAATGTAAAATTACACCAAACATTGAACTGTTAATTAAGTTGTTCGAGCCAGCCATGATTATACAAATGAGCTTAAATTTGTGTTGTTGAGAGATGATATTGTCAGAAAGACCTTGTCTTTCACTTTATAACCAAGCTAAAAAATGTTCAAAAACATTTACAGATGCCAATTTACTGACAAAGAAATTAGTCATTTTGTATTTTGCATTATTTTCTATTTTGTCTCAGTTGTTCGTGTCAAGTTTATTACTGAATGTAAACTTTGCTTTTCGAACCGACTTTTGTCGTTCGTGATTTTCGTATCTTTCTCACACATGAAAACAGACATGAAAACTGGTAAATTCGAATCTCAAAATTTAGTAAGCTTAGTTTTCAAGCTTCTCGAAAAGTAGTTAATTCTCATATGAAAGGAATAAAATTATTTCAATGAAGTAATTAAGAAAACTTTTTCCTTTTAACTGATGACACATTTAGTTTTAAATGTTCAGGGCCTTCATTTCTCATGTTTAGTTAGTTGATGCATGTCTCCAGGCAATTTTCTCTCTGATGCTACCAAAGCATTTGTTTTTTTTATTTTCATTGCGGTAAAAATACAATTAATATAAAAACATCAAAATCCTTATGGTTTTTCAAACATCGTTATGTGAAAGACGCAAGTAAGCTTTAGTTTTTTGCTCACCTTAACCAGTTTTCAAGTCTGTTTTATAGTCCTGATTTGTCCTAAAAGAATCGGGAATCTCCAAAATTTCGATTTCAGTGAAAGACATCCAAGGTAAATTTTACTAAACCTGATATTTTGTTGGATTGTCTGTAGTTATCTTTCGTTTTTTAAAGTAAAATTAAACAGAAATTCAAAGTTTAAAAATGTCGGCCATGGAAAACTTTGTCAAAGAATCTTCAAAGAACAAAAATAGCCCGTGGGGTGGCTGGTGGTGAATTGTGTTCAAAATTCCTAAGTGGGATTTTATAATCGCGCATAAAAAACAATGTAGTGCATTTTGATTCGATTTCAATGCTTGGTTTTTATTATGGGATACGTTATCTTCATCTCGAATAAAAATAATTGAAGATTTTTTTCCCGATCTTATTTTTACTTTTCAGATTCATTCAAATTGGGCTCCCTGGCTCCCTAATTTCGTATCAGGAGCTCCGCTTTTAGGCAGTGCCTAAATATATATTATTGGCCTTACAGGTGAACTTCTAGATCTTCCGAGCACAAACGAGCATGTGATCAGACCGTTGGCTTGAACAAATCTAAGATAGGCACATGCGCCGTACCCATCTTCTGAAGCATCCGCAAACAGATGCACTGATACATCGACAATATCAGTCTCATTTATCAGGTAAACACGTGGAATCTTGATCCTGGACAGACATGCTAACTCATGTCTCCATCTATTCCAATGGCGTTGCGAGTCCTCCGGAATTGGGTCATCCCAATCCAATTTTAGCTTCCAAAGAGTTTGGATTATGTTCTTAGCTTCTAGCAACACTGGGCACACAAACCCAATGGGGTCATACAATGAGCTGATTGCTGACAAGATACCCCTCTTCGTTGGTGGTTTGTCAGGATCTTTGACCTTGAAGAGAAACACGTCTTCTTCCACATTCCAATGTACGCCGAGTGTTCTCTGTATTGGGAGATCGTCAAGATCGAGATCAAGTGTGGGTTTGGCTCTTTCTTCTTCGGGRATCGCCGCCAGCACTTCTCGACAGTTACTCATCCACTTCGTCAATCTGAAACCGGCCTTGCCCAGCAGAATTGTTATCTCATTCGCCAACATCTTAGCCTCCTTTGGAGTTCCAACTGACTTGACCAAGTCATCAACGTAGAAGTCGTTCTCGATAGCACTTAAAGCTGCCTCACTAGCTTTACCTCTGTTATCCTCGGCGACTCTCTTTAAGCAATAGTTTGCGCAACTAGGCGAGTCCGCAGCTCCGAAGATATGAGATGTCATCTGATATTCTGTTGCTTCTTCAAGGCTGCCGTCTTCAAACCAAAGGAATCGTAATGCATCAGCATCTTCAGGTAGGACCATTAATTGATTAAACATTCCTTCGATGTCTGCAACCAACGCAATGCGCTCTTGCCTGAATCGTAACAAGACACCAAGCAGACTGTTGGATAAGTCGGGTYCTTGGTTCAACTGGTTGTTTAACGAAAAGCCATTGTATAGCGCAGCAGCGTCGAAGACTACTCGAATCTTTTGGGGATGAAATACCACGTGATGGGGTAAGTACCATCTTTTCTTGCTTCGTGAGCTTGCTCTTGGACAGCATAGGCGTCTCCGTGTCTTCCCGTACGGTGTTCTAGATGTATCTGTGCTTCTGGTACATTCATTCCTATCAGCATCAATTCTTGCTTTACATCGACGTCAGGAACTATTATGTCCTTCAGGTGTGGCCATCGTGAAACGTCCTTTGGTCTTGTGGTGTTTATGTTGAGGTTCTCCACTACCTTTACATCCTTTATCTGCACAAAGGTGTCGTACTCCTCGCCGACGCCCTTAACTTTCAGATCGGTTCGCCCAAACCTTGACACTAGACTCTCCAGACAGTGTAATAACAGCTAAGTCATTATAGTTGTTGATCTCTATGTTGAGCTTGTCGGTTATGTCCTTTGAGATAAAGGTTTCCTCCCTTCCGGTATCCAAAAGAGCATAAGTGCTGACAGAGTGTCACACACACATATGTAACACTTCGCTGGAGTTGATTCTGACGTACTCGACGTATTCTTGTTATCCTTGGGTTTACTTCGCTGATTTGGTGATTCTACTTGCGTAGACATTGTTGTTACCCTTGCTCCACTCGACAAGGCAGTGGTTGGTGTAGATCGTCTATTTATCTTAGCTGCTGGCTTTGGGAAACTCTTGTAGGACTCGCCAATCCTTCCAAATATCGGATCATTAGCCGCATCGGCTTGCCTTTCTATGAAGTTGACTAAGTTCTTGAGATTAGGAAACTGCCCTCTTTCTCTTATACGTTGGGCTTCGTCTCTCCATTTCACCTGCAGGGAGATCGGTAGTTTGCTCGACATCTTGCTTAGATTG